AGTGACAATCGTCCATAAACGGCTCCAGGCTTGCTACACGATCAGACCCGAAACTTCAATCTGATGCGTCCGCCTTGTCCCTTTGCTCTGCACTGGAAGGATTCTCTTCCGCGTCGGCAGCGGCCACTGGAACATACTTTCAGGAATGGTCAAACACATGGCAACTACATGTAAGTACTATGTTGCAGGGATTATGTGGGAGCTACATAAGTACATGAGGATGGATTACTCTGATTCGGACAGATGCAAACACCTGATGATAGCAAAGCAGCAGAAAGCCACGTCAGCAGCCATGATCGCAGCTGCGTCAGATCCGACGTCTCCAGAGACAAAGCTCTCTTCACCCAATCGGACCTGGGCTAGGCAATACGCGCATTGCACATATGACTGGTTCAGTAGATTCAGTGGCTTGAACATCTGAAACATGGCATCCAAGGATTTGTGGCAAGACGAGCTGAATTGCCATCCCTGAGCCACCACTAAGACTTTATGAAAACGATAAAAACTGGGTGCACGGCCCAAGCAAACCAGTGGCGTGCGCGACGGCCTCCTCAACAGTCGAACATCGTTTCTGCGTACCGGAAATAACTCCGGATTTCTAGAAAGGGTTCCTGATGGAAGTGTACACCGACGTGCATTCCAACATCGCCCTTGACATTCGGGCTGTTGAAAGGAAAGGGCGTGGTAACTGGTAGGATCATCCTAGGTTTCTGACATGGTTAGTCACCGCATTGACATCTTTTTGGCGCCAGGTTAGACCCCTGCACCCTGTAGCCCATGATGTGCTGAAAATGTTGGAGGTTCAGTGCTTTCAAAGGGAAAACTGAACAGACTAGGCCAGGGCTTTGCCATGATGTGGTTGCAGGCTTTGCTTGGGCCTCGTCCAGGCTATACTGGGATTACCAGGTTTCAGGCCCACTCTGGTTGTTGAGGTTGCACAGATCGCTCCAACACTCCAAACCCCAAGCGCTACATAATGCATTGAAACGGCCGTCATCCTGTCGTCGATCTAAAATAATGCTTAGAACCTGACCACTGAGTCCCCTACGGTTGGGGCGGAAATACAGGATTGATGAATCATTGTATTTATGTATCGGTTTATGGGGAGGATACGAGAACATCCTAAGGTCCGCCCCGAACGTCAGCCCGAGATCCGCTAAGAGAGCTTGCGTCAATTGATTCTACTTTTTAGGCCTGCGACTCCCCCCAAGTAAAATGCAATTGATTCCCGGCTTCCTTATGTTAACCCGAGATTAATTTGGAGCGTCACTGGACGAATGACCATGGAAGTGCTTCCAGAAAGAAATACAACCACTTACCTCATCATCTCCAAACTTTGTGCGTTTCCGATGGTTGGTTCGATCTACTAGATTTGTCTCAAATAACTTGTTTCGTCTGAGGCTTAGTCGAGCTTAGGCGGCCAACTCCGCTTCGTAATCTTACCCAAAAGCAGCCAAGCTATAGCCTCACACGATGACGAGTTGACACCCAAAAAGGGCACGGGATACCATTAGGGATTGTGTACAAGATGGAACCTCTGATGCTAAGTGCTCATACCTCATGACTCATGACGGGTGGTGAGTCAACCTGAGCCGCCTGTCTGTTTGGAAAGCCTTGCTACTACAATAACATATCCCTATAGTCTTTCTCGTGGCTTTCCGTCGCCGGGCAACCCTGGGCCTCGAGCCTGCAGGGCCCACTTGGCTCCACACACCAACCATGCCAGCCATGGCCTGAGGGCACCACTGGTGCTAATCCAATACCGTGCGCTGCCCAGAATTTATTTATCTCCATGTGAGTTGAAAAGAAAACCCCGTTCATAAGTTCATTACCCAAACATTCACCATCAGTTTTAACTGGGGCCGCCTTCAGCCGGGCAAGGTGCATCCCTAGTGGAACCTTTATTCTGAGGTGCTACTTCTTCCAAACCCATATTGCGATGCCCTTTGGTGTCCTACTGCAAAACAAAAGCTGCCCACCATGTAGGCACGCCGATGTGCCTACCATATGAAAAAAATGAGGCCTTAGACACAAGTCCTTCCCAAGCGGAGTCCGGGGCATCGGTAAGGGTATCGGTGTCGGCTCCTTTAGGCGGCCTGCCAACTCTAGAATTTTTGCTTCTGTCATCACTACTGCTTGTTGCAAGGGGTATCGGCTGGGTATCGGTCATACACCCCTGCCAATGAAACAACATCCCAGCCAACCCTAAATTGTCACCGTTCTAAGCGGCCGCACAGGGAACTATGGCCATATCAAAGCTATACTGCGGGCACCATTATAATCTCCATATGCGGGGTTATTTTTCAGCTCATATTGGACTTTGGCTCATTATGTCTTGTGTACGCTACGGTCATCAGATCTGGACAGCTATGAGTTGTGCAAACCCCCGACTCGTGTTCCCACTCTTGTCTTCGAGCTGGGCCGTCAGCTACCGTTCCTGGTTAAAAACGCATAGATGGTTGGGTGATCAGGTCTTCCCTGGACTTCTGCTGTAGGTGTACTTCTTCTTTTCAATTGCAAGCCTTCTGGGTGCGCGTTTACAATCTGGTGATGAGGTTGTGTGCAGCCTTCTTCTTTGGATTGGGTTTTTTTTGAATGGAAGACAGTGGACAAAGGGTTGCCTCAGACGAAAGGCAGCTACATCAGGTCTTTAGGAGTAGTAAAAGAGACGAGTACGACCAATTCTTCGACATGGATTCAATCTTTGGGGAGGTCCCCTGGTACAAGAACAGCGATGCAGTCATAGTCTGTTCCTGCCCAGCACCTGACATCAAACAAGGGTTTCGAAGGGATCGAGGCATATGTCGGGATTCCATAGCTCTCCAAATGATCTTGTGGTTGCATGGAGACAGTGTACGATTGAAAAAAATGGCTTGCGAGATTGCCACCATCACGACTACAGTTTTCGGACGATGCCCTCAAAGGCAGCACTTTAAATTCTATAAGCCGCCTTCTGTTGCTGGTAAGCACGTACCTTTGAAGGAGCTGGCTGACAGAAGTGGCAGCACCCGCATGTAATGGCATTGAATGACAGGACTTAGGCGCCTTCCGTGAGCCCCTCAGCCCTGAACAGGTAAAGATCAGCAACGTCTGCCATGAGCGTGGCAAGCGTTGCCAGTAAGGAATTCTTCGTCGGAAACGCTTGAAACATGGAAGCTAGGTGAAATGGCAGAGCTGCAACGAAATCAACACGCTAGTGCAACCTGGCACGATCCAAGGCTTTTTGGCGTACCTCGTATGGACATTACTGGGCTCTCATTCTATAGAAGATGCTTGCACAAACACAGCTCCAGGCTTTCTCAGTTTGAGTCTGCACAAATAACACACAAGAGAGCTTTCATTGAAAGCTTCACCCAAAACCCTGCCTCATCCTGCCTCACTCCATGAAATCAACTGGCCTGAACCCTCGTTGCCTGTAGACTTTTGCAGCCAGGTATGTTCCAGCTTGCTGGTACAGTTGGATTCCAAACCTGTAAGCGCAACTTACAAAAACAGGAAGCCCGGGCAGATGGGCCTGCCATGCATAGCACCGTGGGTCCAGCAAACAAGGAAGAGAAGCAGCAGCAATCATGTTTACAAACGTTCCACTTTTCGGTGAAGGCTACCGCTACGCTTAGGCCCTTCGAAGGTCTGAGAGGATAACAAGAAGCCTGGCTATACCGATGTGCCCTCAACAGGAATCCAGACTCTGGCAGGATCAAGCAGGCATCTGTAGACCTAAAAGGCTCAAACAACCCAAAACCAACCGCAACCTCCTTGTACATATTGTATGCTTCCAACAGGAAGCAAGGATCTAAAACCCCAGCAGCTCAACTTAGGAGAGGACTGCGAGCGTGGAACAGGCGCGGCAAAGCTTGAGCACAGGCTGATGTAGCTGCAGGATTGATGGGAAACAGCAGCGATGGGCGTGGTAATACTTCACTGGTGCTTTTACTTGCAGAAGGAAATGGCCACCTCAAGCTGCCCCAAGCCGACTGGGACTTCTGCGTTTGGAGTCTATGCATAAGTGATAAAGACAGAGCAGCAAAAAAGAAGAAAAGCGCCGACACGCACAAGAGTCGCGACACATGAGTCACACTGGCTAAAGAAGCATGCAAAAAGCGTGAATCTGATCTGCGCCTGCGCATTGCATGAATTTACACTTAAGATAAATCCCATACGCAATCGTCGGTCAGCTGCATCACACTAGTGCTCATGGCTGGTGCATTTGAGAATGCGAGCCACAAGAGAGTGCAGCAGCAGAGGTGATAATGGTGGTAAGAATCCGGGCTCTGCTACTCTTGCACCCTTAAATTAACACCGTGCACAAAGAGTTGCATCACACAAGCAGCAGCTAAATGGCATAATACGCCAGTTCAGCTTGAATACAGTACAACCACAATAGACCTTTAACTTCAGTGCGCTGGACACGCACCATGCCTCCCAAGCGCATTTCACAGTTTCATATCACTCGTCAGCGATTAGAAGAAGGTTTGAGTTCATTGCCGCGGCGGCCTTGCATACAGTGGTCCGCAACAGGAATCACCACTAATAAGTCACTAATAATTCTCCCTCAGTTAGTGGGTACATGTCCTCTCTATCATGATCCCCCTTATCAGGCTTACACCAAACCGCTGACTTGTTTATGTCGGATCCTACATGGATGAACAAGGCTATTTCACGCAGAGCCGGCACCATGACCAGGCAAACAACACACACAATCACAGAAGACTGTCAATTGTAATATTTCGAGCATGATTGGCACGAGATTGAATCGGTGCTTGGAGGTCGAGCATTTCATCATTGTACGTTGTACATGGACCCTATATTACGTGACATGGCTGCTTTGCACTTGGTTGCCTAGCGCTTCTTGAAAAGAGCGGTCTGCAATGAGCGCTTCTAGTTTTTAACACTTTCATCCAAGTGGAACAGCACACGACCACCAATGCAATCGCAATCCTCAAAGACCTGAGCGCCCAATCGCTGAGCGAACGCCTGCTTCTGCTTTCTACACGTGCCCATCACACGTCCGACGTTTCGGGCTTGACACCGCGGAGCCTTGCCAACAAGGACAAGTCAGCAAGCTGTTAAGTCCCTAAACCTGCCAACGCGCCAAACCCTAAACCCGGAATCACACCCCCGAATGAATCCAAAGCAAGGCATCTCAAACGCAAACCCTAGTCGCGAGTCCAGACATGTTGGGAACTGCTTGGGAAATCCACTTGGGATCTTGGAGACAGTCTGTCAGCCCCTGGCTCTTCAGACATTCAGAGTTTATGATCTCAGTACCTCGACGGCTTGCATTCTTCAGATTCAGGGAGTTGAGGATTAGGGGTTGCCAGCCCGGACCCTGATCTTGACGGCTCATCTTAAAATCTGGCTATTTCCTGGCACCTTTCATGACACTATCACATGCTGAATTGAGGAACCGGACCGAAGGGGCTATGGTCTTGAGTCTGGGTTCATAAGCAACTTTACTCACAAAGCATCAGCACGCAGCAAGCCCGTCTGGGTTGTGCAGCTGCAATACTATAATTACCCGGCAAAAGCTAGACCAAAACAGCGATCTTCTGAAACGCCAGCTCTTACTCATAGAGGGCTTAACTTCTGGACCACAACATGGCTGAGACGTCCCAAGAAATCTGATCACAAGAAGCTATTCGAAAACCCTCGTCTCGGTGATTCTCTACAAGCCTCGCTGCAATCACTTTGTCCATCTGTCTGTTATGCTTGCACAAACTCTGGAAACCAATGCTTCTATGTCATCCATCCTTTTAGGCTTTCCGGGGATGCCTGGGGCATTGGATCTAAATCTAAAAAATGTTGGAGTTTAGGGCTTTAACATGCCTAGGCCCTAGGCCTTGTGCCTTTGACTCAACTTTTTCCAAGCCCCCGAGCCTCCATCGGCGTAGAAGGCTCCACCCACAGGGGACGGCTGCATCTCTCCGGTGCCGATGCCAGCGCCTTGTTCAGGGTTTAGGGCTTTAGAGTTTAGGGGTTTCAAATGTTTCAAGGTTGGGGTTGGGGCTAGTAAGTTATCCGCTTGAATTTTGGGACGGCTTGGATTCGGTTTTCTGTGCTTTTTCGGGCTCTCTACCAGGAACACTTTTTGTTATCGGCAACCCAAGACTTTTGAAGCCATCCTCAGTATACATATATATATATACACGCTCAGTATACGGCTAATGGCCCTGGCCCCTGACTTTAATAATGATGATCGCGAGAATTCCCAAAGGCAGCATGACTGCCGTATGTAGTTGCACTCTTTGGCTTCACTGTGTTGACTGTTGATCCTCTGTGCTGTGTCACTCTTGGTACGCATGTGTGCGGTTGCGGTTGCTGCCGTGCAAGGAATGCAGCAACGCCGCCATCGCCTCACTGAGCCTCCTAGAACTACAGCTAGAGAACGCCACCGCCACCGCCACCACCCCAACGCCGCCACCACGACCAGCTGCGGTGGCGGCGGCGGCAGCGGCAGCAGCAGCAGCAGTCTAGCTGCTGACGCTCATGCTCCTCCTGCAGCAACTGCTGTCACTCCTGCAGCTACGGCGAGGACAACTACCGTTCATCGTTGAACATGGCCTTCCTGTCTTTTTCCTTTGACTTTGAGCTTCCTGCTGCCGTGAGGCCAGATAAATGCTGCAAGGACGAAGAAGTCCAGAAGCACCAAATAGCCTCGCGCATAACAATCTTGTGCAAACGGTCAGATCGGTCAGCCAGTATGTAACAGTCGAGCAGTCAAGGTTTGGGTCTCAGGATACACGTGCTGGTCTTGCCAGGGATACTCGACGCTTTGTAGGCTGGGCTCTGGTCAGCTGGTGCCAGGCAAGGAGATGACAACCATGGAGAGAAATGAGGAACATGTTTCTACAAGAGTGGCCAGTGCTTCATGCCCCTGTGCTTGCACAGATCACTCACAAATTGTGTAGCACAGAAAGTAAGCAATGAAGGCTGACACCAATATCAGGAGCCGCGGTCCCTCAACCTAAGCCAGACAGCCCGCGAAAGAGCCACTTCCTCAAGCCCACAACGGTTCCACATAAGTTCGTGAAGACAGGTGGCTAATGATTCGTTCTCTGAGTTTCATCTTCTGCCTGGGAATTCAGACTTTGCAGCTTGTGGGTGTGGGAGGCTGCAATCGGATCTGAGCTGGGCGGGCTAATGTTCGTTCAGGACTTTGCGGACTGTGCGGGAGCAGATCAGAGCATGTGTCATCGCAATTGCCCCAGGCACTAAAAAAATTACTCAGCAGCCTTCCTGCCACTTACAGCTTCTTTATAGGGGCTGCGAGCTCTCTCTGGCGTGTTCTTGCTTTCCTCGTTCTTTCCGGGGTCTAGGGGTAGAAGTTCTACCCGCCGCGACAATTGCCCAGCCGTGGTTGGGCGGAATGGGCTTCCTAGGAAAATGGGGCCCAGCTAATACATATCATGAGCAAGAAGCAGTTTCCTCGATGGTCTACTTACATCATGTTACTTCGTAAGCGACTGGCTGGGCACCCTTCTCCGTCGCTTTGTCTGTTTGTCTCTCTGCTCAGACTGCCAAACCAAGGACGAGGAAACAAGAATAACCAGGGTAACCTTGCCGGTAAAGACATGGGGGGGTTGGCCGCGTGAACACCTGCACTTCTTGATTGCAAGCAGGTCTCAGAAGATCCCAGGCTTTCTGGAAATGCAGATAATCATCCTCAGTTGTACATCATCTGAAAGGGTAGAAATTTGGGGCTCAAGGCTTCCAATGTTGGGGCCTGGGTATCAGGCCCTGGGACCACTGGGCGACTGATGACCAACAGTCGTGCTCATCTAAACAGATAACAGAAAGTGTAGAAGCAAAGTTGAACTGGTCAGCAAGTCAGGAGTCAGAGTCCAATAGTCTGTGCCAAAAGGCTTAAAAACCACTGGCAGTGTGCAAGCATGAGGGTTTCTGTATGGGCGCTGCTCAAAATAAGACCCCGGCATATACCTTAACTTACAGGGTCCACTGAGGCAGCCCCCAAACGAAAATCAACCCAGCCAATTCTCTGACCCCTAATAAGGCCCTAATATTGCCTCCATATGCCATACCCGAAATGTCCAGGGCCCGCATGTTGAAGCTGCCATATTGTATGGCCATTGTATAGGTGTGGGTTCTGGGGCAGAATACCATCTATTTTCACACCAGTACGAGGCCATAGATATTCAACGGCATCTCCACAGAAGGGACTTCGAATCTTCAGTGCCGCTGCAGAGGCATGTAAGCGCAGTCTTTGGGACTTGGGGCCTCCAGAGAATGAGAGATTAAGGTCTATGAGCCACTCAAGGCACGCTCTTACAAAGCCAAAGCTACACGAACCTCAGAGTTTCAAAAGTATTTCCTCCCAATGTAGAGCATTTGATACCCCAAATACAGAAAAACTCGACGGATATCCCAAAAGCAAAAGCTGGAACACAAAAAGCAAAAAGAGTGTTGACCAGGTTGACACCTGCAAGTGCTAGCGCTAGCAAGGCAAAGCCCGCTGCGGTGCTAAACCAAGGAAACCAAAATGCCGTCCAGCTTCTGAATTCCAGCGTGGCAGCCAGGGGGTGTCTAGGTCCTTAGGTGTCCGCCAAGGCCGTTTGCCATTTCAAGATCAGCCGTTGACACTCTGTCCTGCATTATTGCGTCGCTAATTTGATATCGTGTTGGCTGGCTCCATAAGTGTCTTCTGCTTGAGCATGGTAACACTGAGCAGCTTGCTTGCTGCTTGAATCTGGCGGGTTGAGGGCTTCAGGTATTTGGGTGTTGAAAGTTCCTGGACCTCGGCAGTACAGGTCACTGCTGACCACTCAAATAAGGCCACTTCAAACTTCGCAATCCGGCAGAAAGCTGAGCATCCTGAACCTGAAACCAATCATAACACAGCTTAGACTCGTCGAAGAGTTCCTGCAAATAGTCTAGCCGCCAGCCCTGTTGGAAGGCAGCATTCGGGTGAGGGCCAAGATGTTGCATCACTGATGGCCGCAAGTAGCACCATTCGATTTTGATCTGGCAGCTCGGGTACACTTCAACGCTCTAGAAACTGAACAAGATCAAGCGAAAGCACCCGGTTGTGCTGATTTTGTTTAGCTTGGAATGGTGCCGCCGGAGAAATGGACTCGGGGCATTGATTTGGCAAAGGGTTTGATTGTGTAGTTTATGTCCATCTCACCACAGCCTCGCTCGAAGAGCATGCGCGTTGCACCCTGTATCTGAAACATTTCCTGAACTAAGGTCTGGTATTCTGCATTGAGGCACACTACCGAAAATTCAGGATGTCTCAATGTCCCATAGTCCTGGAATCCCAAACTCTCAACCACGAAGCTTAAGTTCCATTGCGCAGTCCAATGCAAAACCCGATCGCGCTTTGAGTTCTGTCTCTCCGGGAGAGGCCGCACCTTGTAGGCCTGCGGTAGAAGGAGCCGCACGACTTCGAACGGCAAAGATCCTTGTCTCAGGGATTTGGAATTGCAGTGGATGGCGATCCTTTCATATAGAGACTTGTTTGCTGAGGTTTTGACAAAGGATTGAGAACCTATGATAACAGATAATAGACATAACCGACAAGATAATGGCGTTGCAGATTCAATCTTGTGGATGCAGTGTTGGCGGTAAGAAGCTGAATGATCTGTATAGACTCTGCACCCAATTTGAAGTATGCTGGCAACGAACTGCGCGTAGGCCCTTCAGGATCCTGTTGCGGGGACGAAAATATCTCTGGAAGACGCCTTTGCCCTTAGGTTCAGGATTAAGGGTTCAATTTTTTGCATGTAAGGGTGTGTTCAGGATTTGCTTCTGTACTCTGGCCTCTCCAATTCACGAGGACTTCCCCCGTGGAGGCTGGAGACGTCCTTGCATTTGTTGATGCTTGTCCAAAGATTTCAATGTGAGCCTGCGCAAGTCCGGTAGTTATTCAGGGCGGCACTGTGGGGTTGGCTCCACAAGCGGTTGCGATGACCCGAAAATGTTTCTAGCTTGAGCTTGCAACCTGCGAGGCTCCGTTTCAGAGTCCTCTGAATGTCAGCATGGCTGTTGCTGGTAGCTTTCCGGCACAGGCAGTACTTGAATAGTTTCACACCTCTTCACTTATAATGATAATCATATACTCAACAGCGAAGCAAGAAAGGACACTTGCGAAGCAAAGGTTTGTAATTCCGTGAATCCTTGTCTCGGAACCCTGACACTTGAAACCCTAAACATCCCCAAACCACTCCGCCCGATCAAGCCTAGGCTCTGTAGCAGATGAGCCATGGATTGTGCAGGCACTGTGCTCTCTTGGAGAACTTTCCTGTCACATGCTCCAGCAGACTCATCAGGACTGCAATAAAACGCTCCTTTTATGGGTAGATTCTGATTTGTAACGTATCCATGGGCTCTGGGTAAAACTTTCAAATGCATCTGGCAGGCCTGATTAGGCTTGAACGTATCCAAGCGCAGAGTTCCATGTTGGCCTCTTGATAGGGAGGGCCTGCATGCCCAATATATATATCCAGTATGTGTACATTCATGACAGTAGCATCAATACAGTCATCATATATGGATAGATACATGTAATTCTCTAATATATATATAATATACATATATGTACGTATATATCTATATATGTATATGTAGATGCATGTGTTTATACATGTCGTATGTATATACCCATGCAGTCCCAGCAAAGCAGAAGAAGGGCAGCAGCCCCCGACCCTTTTAATTTTATCTTGGAGCATCGGCAGTTTTCAGAATTAAGAATTCAGTACGTTGGGTCTTCCGTAAAGAGTGGGCCTCACTTTGGGTCATGCAGCAGTGTGTGGATGGCTGTGAGAGTGTCCGGGGTTCCGCACTGGGACCTACAAATGAAGAGTCCACTAAACAGGGGACAGTACCTGAAAAATCCTTGTGCAAGTCCCATGATTTTGGGAGACTGTAGTTGGCCACATGTCCATGCAACCCCGCAAGCCCTGATCCGAATGCTCTGATGAATACACCGGGTGTATTCATCACAGCAGCTCCCTATGCGGATGGGGGCTGGCACGCCCCAAACCCCTCGCTAAAAAACGCAATCCGCTTGCTGCGCGCCTGGGCCTGGGAAGTGGAAGACCAGGGGCCGGGTCTTGGTCAACCTGGCTTGGCAGTGATGGTTGCAGTCCACTGAAAGCAAGGTCCTGCAACTTTTGGGTCCTAGGGCTCAGGTCTGGAAGCGCAGGCTTATAGAGCTTGCAATGCCAGGTTCGCGGGTTGATATACGCAAATCCTATAAACCCTGAATCCTAATTTTTTGAGGTGTCAAAGTCTTTTGCATGCCAAGAAACCTACAGGAAAAGGCTAGAGACACCAAGTCTTTGATAGGGAAGCCATGTCAGCATTCTAACCAAAATCGTGAGATCGCAAGGAAGACCCTGAACCCCTAAACCCTAAAAAGCCTAAACTTTATGGGATCCCCTTTGACCGCCAAAACCCCCAGATCCTTGTATAGAATGACTTGGAAAAGAACATGGAAAATGACATGGAGAAAAGGGAATTTATAGGGATTATATATTGAGGTTATATAGGGGTCATCTTTGGGTTATATTGGAATAATGGAAAACAAGATGGAAACTACGGACTAAGTGTGCACGCGCGCAAATGATTAGGGTGTCTATGGATTTATGCTTGGAGTTTGGAGGTTGGGTTCAGGGGTTGACTCTTGCTGCCGCTTTTAAAGTTTTCGTCGGGTCTGTGGGCCTGTCGAATTTGCCAAGGGCTTATGGACTTTCAATTGCGCGTGCCCAAATGTCTTCCATCAGGTGCATGCCCTCGGCAAGTTGATGGCTTGGGCTGAGCAGTACTACAACTTAGGTGATATCCTGACACCCAGCCACTACCGCAGCATAGAAGTTGCCAAATGAGGCGTGCCACCCCTGCAAAAACCCTGTTGAACCGGAATTTGCTCGAAAGACTGTGTAAGTCTAACCAACATATCCCTTGCGCGAGCCACAAATGCAGCATACTTCAGAAGAGCGACCGATTTTCGATCCACCACCGGCCGTCAGACTGCAGGAGGCGCGTGCAGCTTTCAGGCAAGTTGGCATAGCTGGGAGAAAACATCAAGAGAGTGCCCGTGCAATCCCCCCATCAACATAAGAATTGCAAGGTAGGGACCCTCTGAAGGATCCCGCTGCCAGGGCTGCTCCTAGAGCCCCCACGTGAGAACTTCAAGCGCTCTGAAGCGAACCCAAAACTTATAGAATCATCCATCCTAAAACCCGTGGCACGCTACAGCCTGAGCCGTAAATCTCGAAACTTAAACCTTCAGACCCCCTTCGGCCTTCGGCAACCCTGCATCCAAGGCTTCCGGTCCTTCACAAGAGCCACGGAGCCCAAAGGCTGGCCGATCGCAGTCTGCCAGGGCCCCTCGAGGATGCCCTCGATGCCTAGGCTCAGGGGTAGGCAATTGTCATTGGGCTCAGGCAGGAGTCGTCTGTTTTGAAACGATTTGTCCTCTGCTTTGCACAGCCAACGTGCGGAATCCTAGAACGCGATTTGGTTTGGGCTTTAGCGCTTTCAAGGCATTTGCATGCGACTTTTGTTGGTCATGGTCGCCGGCTGCAGCCTTTTGATGGATTTCATTATAACTATGGGAGTTTTGAGGACTTGAAGGAACCCCAGGGGCTACAAGGACCCATAGAATGCTACAATACTCTCTACAATCTCTTTTAGGAGTTGGCTCAAGCACCAGGGTGTGTACGGGCTTCGTCGTGGGTTGGTAACAAAACACCTTTCCTCCGAACTGGCAAACGCCCCCAAAGCCACCATCCTAAGCCAAGAATCCAAAGACATTCAAGAATAGCTCGCTGTTGTAGTCCAAGGCAACCAGATCCGGTCGCTTGAACAAGCTGAAATTCGCGCATACAACCTGCTGTGGCCAAAAGGCCTCTGGGCTTCTTGGGGCAATTTCTACCAGGGCGCCTCGCCATACTACTTCCTAAAGGCCACAGTCATAACCGTTCTACGGACAGCCGAGCAAACCCTCGCTTGCAAAACCCCTCGTCTCAGCTTGACTCTTCAATCATGTTCAGGAAAGGCTTGGGTTTCAGAGTTAATGTGTAGAAGGCAGGCACGAACTCTTAAGAATCTCCAGGGGTCTTAGGAGTTTTGAAATTAGAAGCAGCCATGGTAGAATCTAATGCTGCGACATAGGACCAAACCCATTATCCTTGCTTTCTGAGAGACTGTTGGCTTGGAGAGCCCCTAGCTTGCTGCAAAAGGCGATGTTCCCCGAATGCCCAAAACCCACGTTCAGCTGCCCATATCCGTAAGAAACCCCGAACGCCGAATCCGGACACATCCTGACCCCTACTTGAAGACGTCCACAACTCATACACAACAATACCTTCATCTACATGGCTCCTACATAGCCTGTGCAATCCTTTAGGTCACTAACTGCTGCAAATCTTCGTCAAATCCCTACAACATACCTACATGGTAGTTTCCGAAACAGGGTGACCCCAATACAGGCCCCAAAATGGTAGCATTACTTTTGGGAAAACCCCCTCATGACCCACCTTCACAACAATCCAACCCCCCCAATCCCACCCCCCCCCCCTCTTTTCAGGCGGCCTGATCCTCGCTGGGGTCGTCCAAAGGGCGATCCTTCAGCATCTCCTGGGCCCAAGAATCTCTGTGTTCCCAGTAGGAGCGCAAGAACAAGGCTCCTGGAAGCCCATCAGGATCATATCCAAATGAAAAACTAAGAATGAAATTGTATCTCGCTGCTTTCCAACAGAGCCCAGCTGCCGACCCTCACCCCTATCCTGACCTAAATGCCCCTCAAGACTTACACTACTTTAAAAAAGGGTGCGACCGAGGAAATTATGTACAATGCATCCTGCAGCGTGTCCTCGAAGAAGATCCGCATTGCCCAGACTCGTCCACCCATCAGCCTTCCATCTAAGGGCTTTTGAGGATCTTGGGCCAGAGAGTTTAAAGAGCTTTGCCAGTTGGAGGCTTCAGGTGCTTGAGAGTTTATGGCACTCGGATCCAGGCAGGGCCTTTCTGAACTGGGAAGGTGAACGGAGGGGTGGGGGGGGGGCCTGAGCAAAAGAAACCACATCAGGGTTTGCCGGGTTCAGGCTCACGGAATGCTCAATGCTCCAAGGGGAAGGCGCGTCCTATAGCCCTGGCTTAGCTATCTCAAAGTTAGAGATTGGTCTTAGGGCTCCCTGCTTTGCAGGTTGAGGCTAAGCCACTCATGTCGCGAATTTGAAGCGACTACTGCTCTTTAGATCGAGCTTTATGGTTCCTGCATTCTTTGTGGCGTGAAACATCATGAAACCATGACACCGCGACATGAACCTTACAACCCTCAACCCTTGATTCTTGCCGCCCAGTTGCCCGGAATTGAGATATCGCCATGGGTGGCCTGAGGTCCGCAGGGAGTTGAACCTTTTTACGTTGGTCTGAACTATTTTTTTACGGACTGTCTTGTGGCACTGAAGCTTTGCTTGATAGGCATTGTAGGGGGGTTCTACAGAGATTGCCGATGGGTATATGGAAGTTCACCCTATCTGGGATCCTGACACGAGGAACTTCTTCTATCGGGTGTACATTGTCTAGCCGGTCTGCAGACACTAATGCATGGAGTTTCTGGACATGACAAGTTTTGGGGGTGATGAAACATAGGGATTGCAGAAAGTTCTTACAGGTTCAGAGTTCACCAGTGCTATCATGCACTCAGGATTCCCAACTTCTCATCCCAGGGGCTTTAGCAGAGGCTCATGACGGGGGGCCTTGCAGCTGTGGCGAGGATGCTGGGACTCTCAAGCTCTACAAGCCAAATAAGCACGTGCGCGAATGAATGCACACATATGGAGGGTCACACAAACTCTAGGCTTTTCAAGAAACTAGGGCACCCTTCTAAACGTTTCCGTAAAGGGACACCAAATTCTCTGACATCCTACAACCCTAGACCCCTAGGCCCCCACATACTCGCGATAACTCAAGCCCAACCATATGTTGGCATTCCTGCCTTGTCTACAACAAGCTGTGAACAACCCTATTTCGACATCTTACAGTGCCAGGATGCTCACATTGTTAGCGCGCGCAAGGTCTTCGAAGGCCTTGGCTTCTTCAGGCATTGTAGGGCTTTTATGATGGCGTAGGTTGGAGAGCTCTCTCAAACAGATCCTATAATGGTGTGACGTCCAGCGTCCCAGAACTCCAAACATCTCCAAACCATTAAAAACAAATGTCCCTGTGAATTCATAGTGTAATTATTTGGATTTGGGAGCCTGATCGCTCATGTTTTCTGATGGCCTGGCCTTCTGTTGCTTAATACCCTTCTACAAAAAAGTGTCGTGGCGCGGAAGTATTGAATGAGGCATGCATCCAAGTAGTACAGAAAAGCTTCAAAGGACACGTAGGAAGTCTTGCTTTTCTTCTTGGGGAGGGTCCATGCCACCGCTAGATTGCGCCCTGTTTGGCTCAGGTAGAACCTACAAAGAGCTGCTTTAAATGGAGCACCTAAGACTGTCCCATCCCAAAAAACAGACACCCAACATGGGCCCAGGAAGACGACCTTTCTTGTTGACACGGAGCCAGATGAAGTTCCACGTCACTGCTGCTAGCAAGTGCATAGAGGAAGGGACTACATGTATTTCGGTAGCTGGCTATGGGTGTCCTGCTATCGCCATTGCAGCAACCCACGACTTTCTGGGCATCCTAAATCTGGCTAGGCGTCAAAGTTCAGAGGCCATCCCTTACTGCTGAGCCCCCACCAATTGTTGGCCAAAGTGCCAGCACAACTTGAAAACATCCCTTGTGACAAGCTCTTGCAAGAGATCTGCAGAACTTTGGAAGGCCCGAAGCCCTACCGCCCCCCCAATCTATTGTCACAACTTCCTCTCCCGAACGTATTGGGACTGACAGAGCACAGAACGTCTACGCCCTCCCATATGCAAAGGGCAGATACCCCAACAGTCCCGACCCTTAGACCCGTCTGAGCTGAACTCATGACACCCTCTGAAGACGCTCCACGCCGAACTCTGGCAAGCTGCCTTCACCTGAGCAAGTGCTCAATGGCTCAAGGTTTATGGGAGGTGCGGCGTGTGCAGGTTTAGGGGATGAAGTGTTCTGTTTTGACTTCCGCGGCTTGTCTTGCTGTTGTCACTCAGCCGCCGCACCCCGCCGAAGATAGACAAGGCACAAATTGGCCACGGCCGGTCTCCGCCCCAAAGAAGATAGATTTTCCAGTGCGCGCTTCGAGGGCCCTGCATAGATTGCAAGAAGGGAGTTTGGGTGATGTTTATCGGGGCAGTATGGCCAAGTTGTCCAGAGGTCTTCAGGGATTGCAGAGCAGAACATGGAGGATTTGGCAGTCTTGGGAATCTGTTCAAAGTTGTTGGCAGGATGCCCCTTTTGATAGCACCGCTACGCTCCATTTCAACCTTGGAGCTGGGCATACCTTGGTAGGAGCACAAAGCAAGGAAACATATGCCGGCTCACAGCAAGAAGCCTTCCCGCCTAGAAATCCACAGCTGCCTCTCCAATCTGCGAGTCCCTGATCCCTGAAGCCTTTCGTACATCGAGCATGAGGCGGTACAATAACTAAAGGCAAAAAGCAGCAATCGTTCGACGATTTCGCCCTGACTGCCAGTGATAATGGAGTCCTTAGGTGCTTGGTACCAGTGAGTTACCAGCCGCTAACACGCCACGCCTGAAAGCGTGCTGACCCAACGAGACTGTGGGAGCATTCAAGGCTTGCGAGTTCAGGAGTCAGGCTCATACACCATCGCACATGCTTAGTTCAGAGGCAAAGTTCCCTGTTAAGCCTTCTGAGTCTTGTCAGGGCTAACTTGAGCTGGTCCTGATGCAGAGCTAGGTTGCTCTGTTGTTGCAGTGAAGGCTCATAGCAGTCCACAAAGAGGACAAAGTCACAGATCTGAGGCTCAGTCATGCGGTCCAGGTAATCTTTGTACGCCCGCAACCTTGGCGGACAGAAAAACATATGATATCATATATAGCCATTTTGTTAGCGCCAACAGCGGGTACTGTACCCTTTTTCATGCTGTTCTCATGTTCAAGTTTCTCCGAGATCCCTTCTGGGGCTCATAGTGATATCTCAAAACTGATGCTTACCTGCTTGTAGGTTGTCTGCAGCCAGGCAGCTGCAATAGGCAAGTTCTACACCTCTATATGCCGGGCGTGTTGTGCCTTGGGGTTGTAACATAGGGCTTATCTCGTGAGGGGATTGAGAATATATGATCTGTTGGTACCCGACGGCGCGACCATGTTTACATGCATGAGGACCTAGAATTCTGCCATGGACTAGCTTTCGCCACATGGGCATACTCACCCACTGCCCTTCCCAGTACCGCACGATTTATAGCCCTGTGGAGAATGCCCGCTGCTTCTCGCCACATTCCCAAAGGTCTGACCTCCGAAGGCCCCACAAAACTAAGCAGCTGAATGGCCTAAACAATGATTTGCGGGGAAAAGCAACTTGACTGTGAGCCTTGGCCACGACGCTCCGCGGCCATAATCCAGAAGAGCAACCTGTCAGAAATCTCCGGGCAGGGTTCCCAAAACCATGGTTTCTGGTGATTTGAGTATGGGTGTGGGTCTGCCAATTCATTCTGCTGTTATGGCTTCTAGGTAGGGCAACAAATGAACGACAACATGTGGGGCCTTTGAGCACAGTCCTCTGGCCAAGTCAACCAAGGACTACAATGGGTAACATAGGGATTTTCTAGGGAGCGTATTAAAATGTACAGGGTTTATATGTTCTTTTCGGGAAGCTGAAAAGGTCATTCTGAACCACTTCTCGTACAAAAACAATGTCTAGCGCAGCTGTTAGCTGCTGCTCCTGCTGCTGCTGCT